CTTTCTTATTTGCATTTTTGTTTTACCAGTGGGTTTTGTTATTTCTTATGTATTCATGACAATGATTATCATTTTTCAGATTCCAGATGCAGGTTTTCTTTGAGAATTTCTTGCAGGGCTGGTTGTGTGGTGGTGAACTCCAGTAGTTTTTGTTTTTCAATTATTTGAAAAACAAAATGAATGAGGGAGAATACATTATTTCTCCCTCATTCCTGAAGGATAGCCTTGCTAACATTTCTTGGATGGCAGGTTTTTTCTTTTAGTATTTTGAATATATCATTCTATTTTCTTTTGGCCTGTATATTTTCAGTTGGGAAGTTAATATAATAGGGGCTCCCTTAGAAGTGACTTGATGCTTTTCTCTTGCTGGTTTTAGAATTCTCTCTTTGTCTTTGAGCTTCTCCAGTTTGACTATAATGTGTCTCGGAGAGTATCTTTTTGGGTTGAATCTGTTTGGAGACCTTTGAGACTCCTGGATCTGAAGATCCATGTCTGTCACTGTACCTGGGAAGTTTTCCACCATTATTTCATTGGATCAGTTTTCAATGCCTTTTCCTTTCTCCTCCCCTTCTGGAACATCCATGATTCCGATGTTTATGCACTTAAGGTTGTCTGGTAGCTCTCTTAGCTTTTCTTCATTTTTTTAAATTCTTCTTTCCTTTTTGTCTGCCTGGGTTATTTCAAAAAGACTATGTACAAGGTCTGAAATTCTTTCTTCTGCTTGCTCTAACCTGCTGCTTAAGCTCTTGGTTGTGCTTTTTATTTCATTGAATCTATCAGTTCCAGAAGTTCTTCTACATTCTTTTTTAAGGTTTTAATCTCTTTGGACATTTCTTCCTTCATATCATGGATATTTTTTTCTCATTTCATTGTGTTGTCTAATTGAGTATTCTCTCATCTGTTTGAGTTTTCTTAAGATTGTTCTCAGAATTCCTTTTCAGTCATTTTGAGGTTTTCCTGCTCTGTGGGGTCTGGTACTTGAGAATTACTGTATTCCTTTGGTGATGTCATATTTTCTTGTGTATTCATATTTCTAATACCAATACATTGATGTGTGGTCATCTGGTAGAGCAGTTGCTGATTCTGTTATTCTGGAGTGGTCTTTGAGGAGAGAGAGTTTCTCCTGTTTTTGTAGGTTCTGCTGGTGATTCTCCTTGTGTCAATGCAGTCAAGTGTGAAGCAGATTGCCTGCAGGGTGGTCCTGGCTGCTACTTTGGTGGTGAGCTGTCCTTGCAGCAGCAGTAGCTGTGGTGTTGGCTGTGGTGAATCACCTGCATGGAAGAAGTATTTGCAGTGCACTCCTTCCTTCTGCTTGGGGCAGTGGGGGCTGCCCAGGAGCCTCTGCCTGCATCCCAGGTCACTCTCCTGATGTTAATGTAAAGTGCCACCATTGTGCAGAGGGCATGGTCTCCAGCTAAATCTTCCAGCTCTGCCCAGGCATCCTTTCATGTCTCCTAATCAGTTCTCTCTCCCATTCTGCACAGCTGGTCATGCAACCTTTCTCCATTTTTATTAAAACTTTCACCCCATACTTCTCCTGTCCCCATACATAAGCATCATCTCTGCATCCTGAGAACTCCTCATTGTCCTACCACCACACCTGTACAACTTGCACACGTACCTGCATCTCCCCCCACCTTCCCCTTCTCTCCTGCCACAACCAACAGTTCTCTTCTTCCCAAAGGCAGACCAACCTGAATCTCATTCTCTGCCCCTTTCTCTCTTTTCTATACCACCTAATTTTCACTAGCTTTTAAATCAGCTTATAGTTCTCTCCTCTTGAAAAATCGGTCCTTAAAACGTTTGCCTCTCTGCTATGGCCCTGTGTGTCTTGCTCCACACATTGCCATACCTGAAAGGCACACCTGGATTTACCATCTCCACTTCCTCATCTCCTTTTAATTTCTCAGTGTGCACCCACCTGGTCTCACCATTGCACCCAAGTTGCTCTCAGTGTAGTTACCACCCACCTCCTTATTGTAAAATCAAACCAACACTTTTCAGTCCTTAACATAATGGCTCACTGTAGCATTAGACAGGATTGAAGACTCCCTCTTTTTTGAGATTTTCTCCCACCTTGGTGATAGGAATACCATCCTCTCCTGGTTTTCTAACCACTTCCTTTCATTCTCGTTTGCCAGTGTCTCCAATGTTGGCATTCGTCAGGACGCTCTTTCCTTCTCACTCCACACATTGTGTAGGTCATAGCTCTTCCTGTGATTTCAGCTAATGTCTGCATGTTGACCACTTACTTTCATATCAATATTTCCATGCAAAGCACTCTGAGCTCCAAAACTCTCTAGTGAAGACATTTGACTTGAGTGTCCCATAGGCACTAGACACTCAAGAACCAAATTCTTCGTTTTTCCTATCAAGTATCTATTCCTCACCCTGGGTCTTTTGTTCATGTGAATGGCACTAATGTACACTCAACATCTAATTCTCCTTCCCCCAAATCCAAAGCCTCTTACTTCTCCACCATCTGCATCCAGTGATCAAGTCCTACACTTAACATTCTTTTAACATGTTTCAAACCTACCTTCACTTTCCATCCCTTTGCCACTTTTTCAGTAGGTGCTACCACCTGCCCCTTGGCTGAGTGACTGCCACAGGCTCTTAAGTCACTAACCACTCTTGCCCCTGTCCCCAACCCATCATTCTTCATGTACTAAATCCAGTATGTTGGGTTACTCATCACTCCCCTTTAAGTTCTCATGTCTGTAAAATAAGAAGGCACCGACAATTGATCAAACTAATTCACAAAATATACCAGTTGCCCTTCCCTTCCCTTTGACACTCCAATCCACACCATGGCCAGAGTCATGTTCTTAAGGGATAATAATAATTATAGCACGTCCTTGCTTAAAACTCTTCAGTGATACCCCAGTGCTTTAAAGATAAGTTTATACTCCTCAACATGTCTTACAAGGCCCTTCGTAATCTGGCCCTTGCTTGTCTCCTGTTACAGGTTGAGGTGTGTTCCCTCAAAATTTATATGATGAAGTCCTAAGCCCCAGCACCTCAGAATATGATCTTATTTAGAGATAGGGCCTTTATAGAGGTAGTCATGTTAAAATGGGGTCATTAGGGTGAGCTCTAATCCAATATGACTGATGCCTTTATAAAAAGGGGAAATTCGGACACAGAGACAGACTGTGCAGAGGGAAGAGGATGCTACGATACAGAGAAAACACCACGTGAACATGAAGACTACCGTCTACAAGCCAAGGAGAGAGGCCAGGAACAGACCTTCCCTCAGAGCCCTGAGAAGGAACTAATCCTGCCAATACCTTGATTTCCAACTTCCAGATTCATGAGAAAACAAACTTCTGTTGTTTAAGCCACTCAGCTTGTGGTACTTTCGTACAATAGTCCTAGCAAACTAACATAATTCCCAAGTTTTTCTCTTTTCTTTTTTAAATTTCCACCCCCCAACACCCCTACCCCTTTGTTTACTCTCTGGCTATCCTGATCTTCGTACATTCCCGAACATGGCAAATCCTCTTTCATCTTCGGGCCTTTGCACAGGCTGTCCCTCTGCCTGGAATGCTCTTTTCTTCAGCTCTTATCTTGCACAACTCCTGTGTCATTAATATCTTGACTTAGTGGTCTCCTTCTCTGGAGAGCTCTTCCTGACCATCTCCCCTCAACCCCAGACTTTATTATATGCCACCACTCTGCCTGGAATGCTCTTTTCTTCAGCTCTTATCTTGCCCAACTCCTGTGTCATTAATATCTTGACTTAGTGGTCACCTTCTCTGGAGAGCTCTTCCTGACCATCTCCCCTCAACCCCAGACTTTATTATATGCCACCCCCCTTTTTTTAGCACATAGCACACACTCACCAGATGATGTGTCATTCCCTATTCACTTGTTGGTCTCCTCACTAAACGGCAAACTTCTTGAAAGCAGGGATTATGTAGTAGAAATCTACTGTCTCTGCCTTCTCAGCAGCTACTCCCCACTTTTGGTAATAGCACCAATTTTCCCTTTGAAAAACTCATCTTCTCTATTGCCAGTCCACGAGATTCAAATAAGCCCTCTCCATAGCTCAGGGCTCAGCAGTGGATCCGAGTCCCGTGAATGAATTTGTATCTCCTTCTCATGGCCACAGGGATGGGTTCAAGGATGGTCATGACCTGCCTGGACCACTGAGAGCCTGCTATGAGATGTCTTCTGGCCTTTAGGAATGAGAAACTCTCTTGTCGCTGAAATTGCTGCCACTGGGGCTGCGGGAAACCTAAGATCTTCTTGCTTCTATGCAAGGAGAGCCTACGAAAGGGACAATGCAGGGAAGACAGAGCCATGGTATGGAGAAAGACTAATTCTCATCTAAACAAGGTCTTGGGATCCCTATTCCAGGGCTCTTTAAACAATGTCAGAGTTCCTCTATGTGGTTTATATATGCACCGATGAGAAAATGACAGGCAGGAATAAATTTAGGAGAGAAAAGCAAATAAAAATGGGACCTTACTTAAGGAATCTGTACATATCATATAGGCCATTTTTGATGTTCAGTTTATTCTAAATTATTATTCGGTTTGCTCAGTTGTGAAACTAATGAAAACATTGGGTTGGCTAAGTGTGTGTGTGTGTGTGTGTGTGTGTGTGTGTGTGTGTGTGTGTGTGTGTGTGTGTTTTTAGTGAGCATATATGTAGCTTGAGAATCTGTTTTGCAAAAGTTTTCATTTTAGTAGTATTACCAGTAAGAAGTGTGGGCCAGATGTGCAATACTTAAGATAAAGGACTTTGGATGTGAGCAAATCAAATTTTGACTCTGCTCTGTCATTTTTTTTTTTTAGCTGGGTAATCATTTTTTTAGTTGTGTAATCTTAGGCAATTTATTTAGCCTCCTGAGCCTCAGTTTCTTCATTTGCAAAATGGAGATAATACTAGTACAACTTCATATGGCCATTTTGAGAATAAAAGGAAATCATACATACATAGGGCATAGCCCAGGGCCTGGGTACACCACACAGTCACAAAAAACGGTTTACATCTCTTTTTAAAATAAACATTTTATTTAAAAATATATGCATTTTTCTTAAAAAAAAAAACAACACATGCCAACTTTGGTATTTTAGCCATTGCTTGTTTTTTCTTCCTCATAAACCACATTTCTTTCTGATTATGTAGCAAAGAGTTGAGCAAAGGAGACCGATGTGAAAACACCACCACACAGGGTCCCGCAGAGAATGTGTGCCTGCTCTTATGTTCTTTACAAAGCTTCTTTGTGTTTCACTGAAGGAGGATTTTAAGCACCCAGCAATACATTGCCTCAGGTCCTCATTACGGGACCACTGGAGGAGCTCTGGGGAGCGTGTGGGTTCTGTTCCTTTGGAAAACATTAGAATAGCTTCCAGGATCCCCACAGTTATACTTTCTATTTCCATAAACACTCAGAAGCTATTAAACCATTTATAGGAAACGCATGCTACCAGTGTCCATGATGGGAGCAGGTGGTTAAAATAAGCATAGGAGATGTTCGGGGCTTTGTTTGTCTTGATCACAGGGAAACTTGCTGAATCCTAGAATCAGAAGAGAACTGACTCATGTGCTATTGAGCCCAATGGGTCCTATTATAATTTCCCTTGCATATGATAGCAAAATTCTTCCCAGATCCTTTCCTGTCTTGAAATCATCTTATGAATAGTCTCAACCTCGTCTCAACGTTCTTAGAAGCCTGTCTCTTAAGAGATGGAGGCTCAAAATAGCCCCCACCCCCTTCATCCCCCTCTAAGTGTCCCTTTCTTCTAGAGAGCTTGTTATGATGATTGAGCATAGGGGTAGTACATAAACAATGTCTCTTCCACCCTTCCTTTATTTTCAAGGAGCTTCTGTATCTGGCAGTCAAAACAAATCCTAAAACTCTCACAGATGTTTTAAATGGTGGGAAATATTAAAAGATCTGCAAGTAATAGACTACTGCTGTTTGACCACAGAAAAATAGACAAGAATCTTGGTGTGAGAGATAGCATTTAGCTAAAAAGGGTCCTTCATTCTCCCTTCTGCAAAAACTACCACCCCTTTTCATCATAGGTAAAATGTTTCTAGGTTGAGGGTTGGTGAGACTTTCAGTGTTCTTGCTTATAGGAGCTGTCGCTCTGCAGTCATTAAAAATCTGAACAATCAGTGCTGAACCAATTCATTATTGGATATCTGAGGATTTGTGTGCTTTGAGCATGGTAGGCATCAAATAATTATCCACTGGATGAGTAAATTTGATGTGAGAGTTTTCAGCCCAACCAGAATCAGCTACTGGAAGAGCTGATTGAATTTAAAATCAATAACCTTTGAAAAAGACTGTCTGAAATGCTTGGGATAAGTTTTATCGATTTTTATTTATTTTTTTTAATTTCAGGTTGGAAATAATGTTTTTGAATGGCAAGAGGCTGCCAGTTCACAGACCCTTGACTATTCAGGTGGATGTTTTCTCATTTACTGGTGATATCATTAAGAATGGCTTCTCATTTAAAAATTTGTGATTGAGCTGAATTGAGAGGCTCATTCATCAGGACGTTGAGCCCTTTTCTTCCTTTCCTCCTCCTCTTTCTCTTAGTTCTCTTCCTCCTCTCCTCTTTCCCCCTTGCAACTGACTGTGTGTGTTGCAGTAACATTGTTAGAAGCAGGGCCACTACCAGTGATCTCTGGCTTCCTGGCTTACTGCGCAATGATTTCTGACCCCCTGGGGAAGCATGGATCTACTGGACTGCAGGAGCACTGGGAATGTCTGCAGTGCTGTGTCACCATGAGGAGCCCAGCGTTCTCATGAAAACTGCATGTGGTCATCTTCAGGCTCCAAGAGCATTAAGAAACTTGAATGTGGCCATCTCCATTAGTCTCTGCCTAACTTTTAGTCATGCCCAGTTTGTCACCATAAAAGACAAGACAACTAAGAGTTTAAAAGAATTTAAAATAATAATCCCCAATAGGAGACAGATGAACTAACATAAGTTATTTTCTCCGCTGGGAGCAGCCAAGTTCATCTGTCTCCTGATTATCTCCAGTTTGTTTTCTCCCCAAATCTTGCATCTGATCTATGAAGAGAAAGGGCGAACCTGGTGTGTGGAGACAGCAGGTGGAGGTTGACCAGTTATCCAGGGACCTGCTCTTCTAATTATGTTGGTTTACAATAGTCACAGAAGCCACCTTATCTGTTTTGTCCACTGTGAGGCATATATATCAGTTCTGGGTAATATCCTAAAAAGGTCCCAATGGAGAGGCACAGTCTGGCAAAATACAGAGGCCTCCAAAACAGGTCTAGTCCCACAGATAGAAATACCCAAAGGAAAAAAATAATTAACACTCAGACCAGGGGTCTCAGAGTAGGGACACCATGTGAGTTTGTTTTCCAAAGGAAGTAAGGGGGAAAAAATAACATACAAATAGCAAAATGTGGCACCTGAAAAGTGTAACCAGCAAGCTTTGTCAAGACCCAAATAAAATGTCAACATCTGAGGAATAAACGAATGCGTGGAATGTGTCGATAGGGTTTTCTTCCTCATAGCTTTCTCTTCAAAGAGAAACTAGCAGTGTTCCCCTCTAGATTTTTGGTTCTGATGATGACATAAAAGCCAAACGAAAAATTTACCATGTGGATCTTTTAAAGCACAATGCAGGTCAAGGAATGTAAACCGATGTTCGTGTTCCTTTTACGCTCTTCTCCAAGAGGGAGATGCATTCCCATTTCCAGCTGCACATGGTGAAGCCGTTTTACACATCCATATTCATTGCCAAGATGAGCCTGTTCATGGTAAGCAAGTGTCTGTGAGTCATTGGGTTGGAACCATTAGTCATACACAGAGAGGCAATGTGTGGTCTGGTTGATTAATAAGGAACTCGTAGTGAGAAAGGCCAGGTATCATTCACAGCAGATTGAGGGTTAAAGGCTTTTGGTACAGAACACTGTAACACTGCTTTTCAAGATACACCCAAACACCCCTATATGTGTGTGCATGTATGTATACATATATGTGTACGATATATGTGTATGTCATGTCTGTACACGCACATGACATACACATATGTCTATGTCTGTACGCATGTGTATATATACATACATGCACATGGATGTATATATACATGTATATTCCACCCCCTCAATAAGATCTGGCAGCTTTCAGAGTAGCAGTCACCAAAAACACTGTGTTCACACATTTTTACAAGTTAACAATGGAATGACTTCTAAATCTTTGGTTTACCAAAAGGAGAAATTCTAAAATCACAACATTTTTGATTATTTCCTCTATAAGTGCACAGTGAACAACATTTTTTACAAAAGAAGAAAACAGTGCCTTAGTGATTTAAATTAAACAACAACAGCAATAGCTACTTTCTACAGCATGCAACACTCTAACATGGTGAACTGGAGCTACAGTGAGCCTTAGAGAGACCATCCTGCAATCTGAGTTTCTTTTAACTCCCAGCCAAAGCACAAGAGATAACGAGGAAGCGCTTGAGACTACTGTCTTCTTTCCTTCCATCGTTTTCAATGTGCAATTGTGTTTTCTTTCAGAAACCCAGACCTGAAGTACTCTGTCCTGTAAATATCATCCATATTTATCTTTACAATGCAATGATTTCCAATTTCCCCAGAGCAATACAAATCAATGATTGTTTATCAGTCAAATGAGAGTAGGATGAGCTTTGTGACGGATGGACCAAGTCACCGGTTTCTCCCTAAGAAAATTCTTCTGACTTCCTTTTGCAGCAAACTATGCATATGGAGACTGAGTTCTCCAGGAGAACCTGGATTTTTAACTTTTTTTTTTTTTTTTTTTAAATGGCTTCATTAGAAGTATGGCAGCTTGTTAGAGCTGAGAATTCCTCTCCTCCCAATACTGGGGCAGAAAGAGGCAGATGGTTAAAAGAGGAGCAAGAAAGGATTGGCATCTTGAAAGAAAAGTGGAGTGGGAGAAAAATAAACTGACACCCCCAACGATGTTTCCTAGTTCTGCCTAAATGATCCCTGGTATGGCTTCCTGTGCCTAGACACATCTTTCTGTCTGCCTATGTGGTCATCTCTAGTCTCTGGAACTAAAGGGGGTTATGTCAGAGAACGTGAGATATCCCTTCCGTGGCAGGAGATTTTCTTGCTTCAGGGTTCTCACTTATCACACAATGCTTATCAGCACTGAGATGGTTGGAATGATTAAGCTACTGATGGAAAAAAGTTCTGGGTGGAGTTCTCTGGACTCAAAGCAGGTTAGTTAATATCAGTGACCACAAAGAGTCCTGGATACACAGTCCGAACCACTCCAGCGAGGCAGTCTTGTGGTGAAAGGACATTGAGTTGATTCTGCTCCCCTGGGAATGGGATTGGTTCAGTCCCTCTCTTCTGTCTCAGGGACTCCCTAACTGAAGCTGGGCCTGACTTCTCTTTTGAAAGACAGGTAAAGGAGACACGGGAAGTGGCCTCCACCATGGGCATGTCTTTGAGGGACTGGCTTCCCTGTACTCCCAAAGACTTTTTGTTTCCTCAGTACATCTAGTAAATTCATGAGAAAAGCTTACAGTGTGAGCTTATGCTCCAACAATGCCTGAGAAAAATGATGGGCTAGAAAAAATATTGGTATTTGAAGGGGCAGTGAAAGAATGCTTTTTGGCATCCTTCATCTGAGAAAGCACATTTTTGAATGCATTGCTGAAATCATGAACAGTTACTGAATTTTGGTAAATTTTACATTACATATATATTTTTTAAAATGACTCATTTGTTTTTGTTGATTGTCACGGAAGTCTCCACTGGTTCTTTTTATTCCCTTCTTTTTTCCTTGGGTCATATCAGTATTTATGGTGTGTGCTTCCTCTATGGAATTCCTACCAGTCTTCCTGAGCACTATTGCATCTGACATTCTACCACTGCTGCAAGTGAAGGTCCATGGGGGAATTCAAATTGAGATCCGTGACATCCAGGAAATCAATGTTGAAGATGCTGGGGCCGCTCGTGGTGAGGGAGCTAAAACCTGGTGTGGAACTTGGTGGCGTGAGGTCCAGCCACTCCATGGTTTCCCAAGGAGATTCAGTGAAGCTTAACTGCAGCCCATGGCTGTCCACAGAAGAGGGTGAAAACTGTGTCTGCATCGGGGACAGGGGGCCTGGCAAGATCTCGTGAGCACTGAAGAGGTCTTCTGCAGCCTTCCCAGAGAATCCATCCATTATCCCTTCAAAAGGAGGCTCCTCGTTTCCAACTTTTAGAAGGGTGACATCGCTCACCTTTCCTAAGGGGCTCTGGGAATTTAATAAGACTTCCAGATGCTCCTCGTTATCAGTGGCATAATGGTCAAAGGGGAGCTGGCCTCCTGAGGACGCTTGTTCGAAGGAAGCTGAGGGCTTGGTGAGGACAGCAGCAGGGCTTCGGGAAGGCCCGGGTATCTTTGGGACTTTTTGAAGACATGAGTGATCCTCTCTGGCATCAGCTGGCATTTCTGCAGGTAAAACACAATGTATTGTTAAATGCCACTCTGTGATGATCAAACTCTCTTGTCCGAAGGTTTCTTTGCCACCCTGTTGCCACTTGCTGATCATTACTGAGCATCCTTCTTACAACTCCTCTGTGGCTTTGAGGGGCACGCTGCTCTGCCCACCCCCTGCCTCCTGGTCGCTCCTTCTTACACACTGAGAACTACCCCTACCTCATTGCCTTTTCCCCACTTCAGCTCTTCTCACCCTTGGAGACTTCGGCATCCCCAGAAATGACCTGGTGTTCATGCTGGCCTCAGTTCCTTGACCACCCCCTAAACTCCAGTTGCCTCCATCCCCACCCTGAATCTTGTCATCCCCAAATACTGTGCCCCTCTGAAAGCTCGATTTCATGCAGAATTGCCCCCCTCTGCCCATCCACTGCCGTTTATTAAGTACTCCAGGACGATAATTGGACCTTATTCTCTGCTTTTTCTGAGCCTGCCCTGGATGAGGGGACATTGCAAGAGAGAACTTGCACAACTAGGCCAACTGGTTTCACTTTAAATTAATGATGTCAAGCCTACAATTGACATTTAATACCACCTAAGAATCCTACTATGTTTCTCCAGAAAACTCTATTCATTCCTGTTTAATGCATAACTGCTCTTTCCTTCAGTCTCCTGTACTCCTGTCCTGCACCCTTTCTCTCCACTGACCTTGTCACATATTTCATTTAAAAAAAGTAAGAGCATCTGATATGACCTCTCTCATTTTTCTATCACAAAACCTATATACATACATACACCATACCCATCTCTTTTTCGTCCCTCTTGTTACGATAAAGGACATGTCTGTTCCCTGATTCCCTTGTCAGACTGTGAACTCCAGAGAGGTGGGCACTTCGTCTGTCTGGTGTGACACTGAGCCTAGCATGATGCTTGGCTTCTCTTTCTTTGGTCCTTTGCTGCCTCCTTCTCTGAAACTTTAAATGCCATTGCTTAAGGGTCAGCCCTGAGCTCTTTTCTTTTTTACCTACACATTTTCTTTAGGGCATCTTACTCATTTGTGTTTTCAAATTCCTGGCACACACTCCGTAACATTTCTTTAAATCAATAAATGAATGAATTAAAAGGAGGCAAAAAGAACGTGTTGATTATTTTTTATTGCTAGCTTGAATAACATGGAAACACGACTGGACCATCTAGTGGAAAATTACGAATTGAGTTTCATTTTGAGTAGGTAGCACAAAACTTTCATTATCTGCTTTGTTCTTTTTCTTAAAATAAAGAAGACAGGGGCATTGAGATTAGACGGTAGAAATAAATGGTGTAGCAAGAGAAAACATTTAGGGAAACAGGGATTGGGTTGAAAAATGAAAACCATTACAATGATTGGTGAAAACTGTTCCTAGAATGAAGGCAGTGAGACATCACCCACTACAGCCTTCTTTCATCTGCTTGAAAAGTGTGCAGGAAGTTCAGAGGAAATGACCTGTGACTGTCTGGTGCACTCGATGCACAGTGTGCCCTTGACCTTAGTCCTAAGAGTTTGTTCGCTAGAGTGGGTATCATGATGGACAGGACTCAAGGCAGACTTACCTCCACTTTCAATGAGGACGTCCAGGAGTTCATCCATCTGCTGGCTCCGAGTCATTTGCTATTGCAAATTAACAAAAGGAAAACAGAGAAGTTAGAAGATGGTTACTTTGTAGGAAATTATTAGAAGCAGCATTGCAGTTTTTGGAGTAGGTTTGATTTAGGTGATTTTTTTTTCTAATCGTGGTAAAATACGTACAATATAAAATTTACGATCTTAGCCATTTTCAGGTGTACAGGTCAGTGGCATTAAGTACATTCACACTGTTGTGCCACCATCACCACCATCAGTCTCCAGAACTCTTTTCATTTTGTAAAACTGAGACTCTGTACCCACTAAACACTAACTCCACATTTCTCCCTCCCTCAACGCCCCACCCCCCCTTTGGGCATCTCCATTCAACTTTCTGTCTTTAGGAATTTGACTATTCTGGGTACCTTATATAAGTGAAATCATAGTTTTTATCCTTTTGTGACTGGCTTATGTCTCTAAGCATAATGTCCCCAAGGTTCATCTATGTTGTAGCATGTGCCAAAGTCTCCTTCCTTTTTTAAGACTGAATAATATTCCATTGTATGGATATACCACATTTTGCTTATCTATTCATCTGTTGATAGACACTTGGGCTGTTTCCACCTTTTGGCTGTAGGTAATAATGCTGCTGTGAGCATGGAAAAACGGACTGAAGGTTTCTGAACCATGTTTGATTGAATCTCAGTATTAATTTTAGGCAGGTAAACCACTGAATGAAACAATATCCTACAACAAGAGGAGGGGAAAAGAGGGCAGAATGCTTGCCAGCATTGACTACATTAGTATAAGTTCAGTTGTTTGAGAGCTTTCCATCCTGGGAGCAGGGCATCTTAACATACAGAAAATACATTTTTCTCACTTTAGAATGACCTGAATCTACCTCTTGTTTGGCTGCTGGGGATGTGGCCCAAGACCTTGACTCATATTTCCTTGGGTCCTCATGGGATTCCTGGAGGAACCTGTAGACACTTGCAGGGTATTCCCTCTCCTCTCGGGCTCATCTGAGTTGTTAAGTAGAGTCTTAAGTCTGGAAGTCCATCTTGCCTGGACTTTTTTTTTTTATTTTGAAACTGTGAAGGACCCGCTGATGTTTATAGCTACCAGGGGAAGGGAAGATGCAGAACAAAGCCTTGTATCCATCTCACTCCTCTGAGAGCCCTGACCCAGTAATCATCAATAATCAATACGGATGGGAGCACTGCCCAAAGAATAAGTCACTTGCCAGTTCAGAAGGCACCATTTGCCTACAGGGTCTGGCAGGTAATGCAAATGAGCCCAAAACAGAATTAGAATCAGAGAGGTGGAGTGCAGAGCGTAGCTGTGGCTCAGAGAAGCAGTGGATACTTTGCTTTAGGCAATTGTTGTCTGGCAGAAATGTGGCTCCCGGGTTGCCAAATCTCTGAATTTTTCAGAAATGAGAAAGCCCACGTTTTGCACAAAATCCTCTGATATTTAAAACTGAGCCAAGTGAAACATTTCAAACACAAATGAACGTAGAGGGTATAATGAACCTCCCTGCATTCAATACCCAGCTTCCATCACTATTTTGCCAGGATCACTGCCTTATAAAGCTAGGAAGAACTGTAGAAAGTATTATCCTGACAATCTCTCTTATATAGTTGAGTACCTATCATGTGCCTGAACAAGGTGACAAGTGCTAGATTATCTAGAATCCTTATAAAGTAGATATTGTCTCTGTTTTATATGTGGCAGTGGCAGCTGGCGAGTGGTGGAGGTGGCTGTAAGTCCAGGCATCTGGGATGTGCCACCAAGCGTCTTCTCCCAGCCTCACACGGCTTCTGCACACATGCCGCCCCTTTCCACAATAAGCGTCTAGACGCTGCTCATTCTAGAGACACTCGAACACTCAACATCAGAATCTACAAACTGCATGAAGTTTAATAATTTAAAACAATAGCCCCTTAGTCACCCCTATCCTTCCATGCAGAACAAACCATGTGGTTACCTGCTTTACGGCATCTTCATATGAGGGAGGCTGTGTTATCTCTGACGCTGCTGAATTTGACTTAGAAAAAGTTGGGGATGGAATTGGAAACTTTGGCCCTGCCTTATCAGCAGGGTGTAAACCAGCCATCTGTGCGGATAAAATACAGAGAAAGACATTCAGTTCATGGGTCAGAAATGGTACTGCTTCTGTTCTAGAAACTACAGACTACATTTTGTAAAAATTAATCAAAGACCAAAAAAAGACCAGGGCTCAGAAAATAACTCCAATATATGAGCTATAGCATATACCACTGCCAATTTGTTGCTGGCGGCATCTTAGAGTGGGAACCTCACAGATTTAGTTTTCTCTCTAAGATGCACCCTCTTCTGTTAGGAGTAAACAAGACAAGTAAATGAAATAAAGTCAGAGTCCATTCCAATACAAAGAAGTTCATTGGCCCAGGAATTTCCAAAGTAATTTATCGCCCGGTCATTTTATTCCAAATGGGGTCTATGTGCAGAGATTTGGAGGCATTGCTTGGGTGTCTCTTCATGAAACCGCTTTATTTATTAGGTGTTCTCTTGTGGAGTGCTTGGCTCATCTCAGGGTCTCTGTCCCTTCCATGATTTGTAGCATGTGACACTTTTATGTCATGACTATTTTATGTTTGCTTTCTTCCTACCACCTCTTCATCATTTCTTGCTCCTGGATTCTTTACACTCCTGATTTCAGCTGACATGTGTCATCTCTTCCCTTTTCCACAGAGATATTGCACTGTGACCCCAACTTTCTGCACCTCTCCAGCCCTTTCCATGGATCCAAGTACCTCCCTCTTTTCCAACATTGTTTTCCAATGCACCCCCATTTCAATCTTCACAGAAACTGGTTTGTAGTTTTGCAAACATTACCCTGGTCATTTTACTCATGATTTCTGGAATGACCCTGGGAAATGACTCCCTGGGATACCTCCTAACGCATATTTCTACATCCATTTCAATGCATTTCAGATGGACTTGTTTCTCTCTGAAATGAGATTTACTTCTGCTTCTGAACCTCATCATTCACTTTGGAGGACAGGGGCCACAGAAGAGAGAAGAGGCAAAGTTAATCCCAGGTTTAAACCTTTTTCCAGGTGCCTACCTTTTGCTGTATACCTGGGCTTTTGGGACAAGGGTTGCCCCCAGCACTGTGACTGCTGTCTGCCTGGGCTCCAGAGAAAGGGGGGTGGAGGCTGGAAGACTGTGAAGAGAAGCTTGGAGGATGGCCATTGTGTGCCCCTGAATTCTGTGGAAACAAAGAAGTGACAGGTGAAATGGCCTGCAGCAGTGGACTCTGCTGACAATTCTGGTGCTGCCCTGTGTCCCCTGGTGCCTTATCTTTATAAACATTCCTAAATTCTATTACCAGATGGACTTGCCTAAAATCTGGCCTTGTACATATCACCGACTGCTCTAAATCTTCCCCTGGCTCCCATGTACCGACAGCATAGGGTCTCTACTTCTAACCTGGATGTGTCTTCAAGACTTTCTACAGTAGGGTTCTATGTACTTCTGCAAGCTAAAATTCTACTATTCCTACCATAAACATTCCTCAGCATGCCCTGTGCATTCTACCACCTTATCTTGGTTCTCATGGAATGTTCTTTTCCTGCTTCTTTCTTTATAATGCTACACTTCCCATCAAGTCCAACCCCTTCACAAAACTTTCCTGGATTTTTCTAGCCCTTTATGATCAATCTGTTCCTCCCCCTAGCAACGTTATGCAGCATTTAATGTCACAAGCACAGATCAATCATGTTATCCTATTTTGTTCTTTATCTTTTTATCATAAAATTGTTCATGTCTTCAAAGAGTCTTTGTAAACCATAAATCACTGTACAAATGTTAGTTCTTTTTTTTTTTTTTTTTGTCTTTTTCCGTGTCCGGCAACAGATCGCAACCCTCAGTGT